TTTTACTTCAGCTCTATTCTAGCAGATGCCTGTATATACAACAAGCAAGGCAAACCCCAGCTGTTTCCAGAATCCTTTTCTAAGCAGGCATGAATAGTGCAGCAGTTTATTATGTAAGCTGCCTTGGTTGTATTTTACAGAGAGGTAGGATATAAATAAATTTTATTATTATTAATTTATTATTATTATGAAAAAAGAAGAAAGCAAATAAATCTACCCCAGCAGGTACCCCATCATGTTTTAAAAAAAAAGAGCACAGACATATAAGTTTTTCTACAAAAAAAAAAAAATTATAAGGAAAGTGGAATCTGGGAGAGAAAAGGTCATTCCTGGATGCATTTAGGGAGAAGCTTTCAACTAGTCTCTAGAAGGTTTAAAAGACTTTTGCTTACTTATGCAAAGTTACCCAACCTGGTTGTTTCATTTCACATGTGAATATTGTTAATTTTGAATAAAAAAAGAAATTGCCCATGTATATGTGGTGCAGGAACATATATACTCATTACCTCCCATTTTTTAAACTTTTTTTAAAACAGACATTGCTGTAGCAAAGTTTGGGAATTGTGTGGGTTGAAAGGAAAGGAAAGGAAAGGAAAGGAAAGGAAGAAGGAAAGAAAGAAAGAAAGAAAGAAAGAAAGAAAGAAAGAAAGAAAGAAAGAAAGAAAGAGTATAGTAGTGTATTGGTTTTGCCCTGGTGCCAGAACAAACTACAATTCCCATGGCCAGCTAAAGTGGTGCCAAACCAGATTATTTCTGCAGTGCAGATGCACCCAATGACAAGTTAGTTTTAGAATTCACTTATAAATAATGAAATGAATTAATTGTACAAATAAACGTTCCAGGTTTTGTCCCAGCCAAGTCGTGCATTGTACATAACTCTCCTTCTTTGGAGGAGAACAGCCTGGGAGCCCTGGACAAACCTTTTGGGAGGCTGTAATTGTTGCCTTCCAGCATTTTCTACCTGAGATGATCCCCTGAGTCTTTCTAGTGGTAGGACTCTGTTTTCTTTTGCCTATTTCTATCTGTTTTGCCCTCTGTACAGAAGTTGTATTTTTGATGTCCATGGAGGGAGGGATGTGAGGCTGGAAGCTGTATACAGAGAACCATGTGAATCTCCCTCATGAAATATAGTCCACCAGTCCCTTTGAATCATGACTAAGGCTACTGCCGCACTGCAGAATTAAAGTAGTTTGACATCGCTTTAACTGCCATGGCTCCATCCTGTGGAATTTGTCATTTGTTGTGACACCAAAGCTCTCAGATAGAGAAAGCTAAATACTTCACAATACTACAGATCCTAGAATTCCATGGCACTAAAGTGCTTTCAAACTGCATCATTTCTGCAGTGTAGATGCAGCCTAAAGCTATTTCCTTTCCGTTTAAAGCAAAGTTCTATTTTATCATA